CTGCATGCCCAGCCCAAGGTAACCTCAGCTCTGTGGTGGGGGTGTCAGAATTTGCTTCACTGGCCACTGTCCCGTTACGTTTTTCTTTATATACTACATAGAAGTGAGACTATCCAGTGTTTGTCTTTGCCTTTCTGATTTATTCCTCTAAGCATGATTAAGAACCAACCAGATTGTATAAGTAGAGTATAAAAAAAATATTGGTAGAGGGGCTGGAGAGATAGTACTGTAGTTAAGGTAACTGCCTTGCACGTACCTAATCCAGGCTAACCCTGGCATTCCATTTGGTCCCCAGAGCACCAGCAGGAGTAAGCCCTAAATGCTGCTGAATACGACCATAAAAAAAAAAAAAAAAGCACTGTAGCACTGTCCTCCCATTGTTCATTGATTTGCTCGAGCGGACCCAGTAACATCTCCATTGTGAGGCTTGTTGTTACTGTATTTAGCATATCGAATACATCACGGGGAGCTTGCCAGGCTTTGCCTTGAGGGGGAGAGACTCTCGGCAGCTTGCTGGGCTCTCCAGGCGGCATATATTTATATATTTCTCTCTATGATTTATTGCCTACTGTCTGAACCCCATCAAATATGGTGTGGTAATTATGAAAAATGGGTAGGAAGTATCTTATGAGATGCAGTCCGAAAAGGAGCGTGGCGGTGGTTGGGTAGTGGAGGTCAGCTGCTGGAGCTGGGTCCCTTGGGACGGGGAGGGCTCTCACCCACCCCACTCTTGGGCGCCCCGAGTGAAAACAGACAGATACTATCTGTTATTAAGTCGTGCAACATAACTTGCATTTAGCTCTTTGCATCAGTGATTCTGTGTTCTTGAGACAGATGCTGGATCATACAGGAGTTTTATTCTTTATTTTTTGAGAAGTCTCCACACTGTTTTACATAGAGGCTGAACCGGCTTTACATTTCCAGCAAAAGCAGGCACTGTTCTTTTTCCCCACATCCCCATGAACACTTGTTTTCTGGCATTTTTCAATAGATGTCATTCTCTCTGGTGTGAAGTGACCTGATTATCGTTTGCATCTGCATGTCTCCAGTAGCAGTGATAGAGAGTGTTTTCACATGTGCCTATGGCCCTCTGGGGATCTTTCCTTCCGAGAGGCAGCTCCTCCGTATTTCCCTTCTATTTGATAAAGCTATTTACTGTAGCTGAGTTCTGTACATTCTTTCTATAGCTTGAATATTAGTGCTTTATCAGATGTATGACATGCAAATATTTTCTCCCATTCAATACAGTATCATTTTATTTTAGTAATAATTTCTCCCATCGTGCAGAATTTTTCAGTTTGATCCTACTCTGAGTTAATTTTGTGCATGGTGTGAGTTACAGGTCCACTTTACTGGTACTTAGCCAGTTTTAGAATGGCAATCCCACTTTTTTGGGGGGTGGCTCTTATTTTTGGGTCACACCTGGCAGTGCTCTGGGCTTACTACTGACTCTGTACTTGAGGATTGCTCCTGGAGGTGTTCAGGGAATCATAGGAGGTGTCAGGGATAGAACCTGAGTTGGGCACCTGCAAGACGAGCACACCTATAGTATGGCACCCACCATAGTATGGGATAGTATGGCACCCATCATAGTATCTTTTCAGCCCCCTGGAAAGACAATCTTAAATAAGGAGCAAAATCAAAAGCTAAATGGAACGCTGGGTAGATTGAACAAGCCTAACCTTTAAAACTTCTGTATGAAAACATGACACAAAAAAATTAGATAAGCAATGGTCGAGAGCATAACATCTGGTAGGAAAGACTGACATTTTCTGTATGCCAAAACTCATCAAAATTGATGAAAATTATGGAGTCCATGCCCAATTTAATCAGCTAATCAGTGGCTGAATAAATAGCAGTACTCCTACATTAAAAAAAATTGATGAAACTTAATCCTAACAAATTAATGACATATTTACAGGGCCCGACAGATAGTACAGCAGGTAAAGCACTTGCTTTGTATGTGGCAAACTCAGTTCCAATCCTCAGTATCACATAGGGTCCTGAGTCTCCAGAGTTCAGAGCCAGGAGTAAGTCCCAGTGTGACAGGCAAAGCTCAAACCTCACCCATCCCTACAAAAAAAAGGTATATATTTAGAGGAGTGGGGCCATAATATAATGGGTAGTGCACATGTCTTGAACACAGCCAACCCAAGTTTGATTCCCAGCACTCCATATGGTCCCCCACACCTGCCAGGAGTGATCCGTGAGCACTGAGCCAGGAGTAAGAAAACCATATATATATGTTATATATATATATATATATAAATATATGGGCTGGAGCGATAGCACAGCGGTAGGGCGTTTGCCTTGCACGCAGCCAACATGGCCGACCCGAGTTCGATTCCTCCGCCCCTCTCGGAGAGCCCGGCAAGCTACCGAGAGTATCTCGCCTGCACGGCAGAGCCTGGCAAGCTCCCCGTGACGTATTCAATATGCCAAACACAGTAACAACAAGTCTCAAGATGGAGACGTTACTGGGCCCGCTCGAGAAAATCGATGAACAATGGGAGGACAGTGATATATATGTGTGTGTGTGTGTATATATGTATATATGTGTATATATACATATATGTGCGTATGTATTATACACATATGTGTGCATATGTATGTGTGTGCATATGTATGTGTATATATGTGTGTGTGTATATATCCGTATATGTGTATATATACATACATGTATATATAGATAGCACTGTAGCGCTGTCCTCCCATGTTCATCAATTTGCTCGAGTGGGCTCAGTAACGTCTCCATTGTGTTTGGCATATTGAATACATCACAGGTAGCTTGCCAGGCTCTTCCGTACGGGCGAGATACTCTTGGTAGCTTGCCAGGCTCTCCGAGATATATATATATATATATATGTATGTATATATACATATATATATAAAATTTCTAGAAATCAAGAATTCTGTAATTTTCAGATTACAGAAATAAATGCCAAAGATATCACTTTTGGGATTTCTTAGATGCACCACGTCCATGCTAACCAATGAATGAAAACGGTAATAAAGGCATAGATGCCACTTTGATCCACCAACTTACAAAAATGAACACTGGCAAAGTGTCAAATAGAAAAGTCAACAGTGCATTGCTCTGAGCTGACTCCGCTGGAGACTCCTGCCAGGAGCCTGTCTGTCCCCGGCCCAGACCTGACCCAGCACCCAGTTACTGCGCTTCTGCATTTCTCCAGATTCAGCACCACAGACCCTCCTGCCTGTGCAGTGTCTCCACGTGAGCATCTGCATTCCTTACATCAGCTCTTCTTGTCACTAGGGGATTTCCAAAATCAATGCTAAGAACTTTCCTGCCACAGAAGAAATTACCTAGTGTCTGGCTCTGAAACCCTGACATTATTAGAGTAGTCAGAGAACTGCTATTCTTCCAAAAGTCTCCGGGAGTCTCAGAATTCAGGTCACCATTTTCTTGCTTGTCAGATGGAACCTTTTCTTTAACGTTCTACACTCACTACCAAGTCAGAGATGGGCTCCAAGGATCTCGTCCGCTTCTCCCTACTCTTTCCTCAGAGCGACCGCCCCTACATATCCCTATTAACCAACGACCCAATACAGGAGCCAGAGGTCAAGCAGAGGTCTTCCCAAAGCCATACTCACTGCTTTGTGTCCCGTACTTCCTGAGGTTCACACAGAGCACGAGGCATGAAGCACTAGAAAACATAAGATCTGACAGGCCCATCTACTCTAAATCTTCAACTTGTGGAGTGTGATGGTCATAAAGACAGAGTGCTTCCCTCCAGCACAGGAGTGGCCAGTCAGTACCCACAACTCAGAGTTCTCACAGGAAAGCCTGTAATGCTGCAGAAACAGGATTCATCTCGCACATCTTTTTCTTCCAACTAGCGCTTACCTTGCATTTGGGTAACTGAATCAATAAAACCATTGTCAAATATTTCTTACCGAAAAAAAATCCTCCATTCCATTTTCTATCTTGCCTCCTTTATGTTCCTTTTCTCAGCTCTGATTTCCCTTGTCTTCTCTCTTACAGTTTCACCTTTGCACATTCTATGACGCTGTTTCGATCATTTCCTTTCCAGTCATTTCTTCTGACACATCTCCCATTTCTTCTGACACCTGATCTGACTCTGAATCTTTGACCTTGGGGCCAAATCCCCCCGTACCTCACAATTCTCAACACCAACTGAGTGCCACACGCTCCTGTCCAGGCCATCCATTAGCTCATCTACTGCATGAACTGGGTAGGATCTGTGAAAGGATTTTCGATGGAAACTAGACTAGTGAGTGATCGGAAGAAACTGAAAGAAGCAGTCAAGTCAAGCTTCACTTATAGAAAAGACAAGGAAAGATGACTCTTCCAACAAAATTATTATGCATCGCGACCCTTTGTCAGCCTTGGGGACAAAGCTGTCGTCCAAGCAGTCCTTCCACTGGATGACAGCTAAGCCATCGTGGCCAATACCCATGACCTGCTTATGTGTGGAGCAGCCAGTTCAGGGCATGGATCTAACCCCATGAGAATGGCCCATGCATCAGAAAGAGTAACCATCACAGCAGCCTGACAAGGGAGAGTTCTAACAGGTGACGATGCATAAATTACCAGGAGTTCAGGAATCAAACAGTGAAGCTTTTGACTGGTTACTAGCAGAGGTGGTGCCCAACTAGAGACGTAGGGGCATGAACACTTCGAGCACTAATTGTGAAAGAGGTAAAGAATTCTCTCCTGCAAACTGGAAAGAGGTCAGAACGAAAGAGTGAACCACCTGTGTTCACCACAGTGCCGACAACGAGGTAAGTCATAAACTGGCACTTGCTCTCCCGTGTAATTGAGTAACTGCTCTTTCTGGAACAAATTCCTCAGGGTCACATTCTGTGTAAATACAGTCGTGTCTGCCCAGTGAGCCCAGTAAGGGATAAACACAGCCTGAGGAGGGGAATTCCGTGATTTTTTTAATTTTGGTTTCTGTTTGTTAGCTTGCTTGCTTCTACTTCAATGAGGTAAGAAATGATCAAAATGGACTCACCTGGACATGAAATCCCTTGACCATCAATAATTTGCTTGCAAATCCCACAAACTTTGGATTTTTTAGAAGTCTTATTCTTAAAGCTGTGCACACTTGAAGTAAATTCTTCTGACTGAAAAACATAAAATAAAAAAAATCATTAGCACTTTAATTCAGTAGTTGTTTCTTCCTTTTCTCTTTCAAGAGATAAGAAACCTAGCAGAGTTGTGAAGACCTACAATAGGAAGTAGGTCACACAAACCTAGGAGAAGCCAGGAGCACTGGGACTGCAGAAGAGTCCAGGGCACCCTTTTGGTGTTCTCCATGCCACAGCCTACACAGGAGCTGAGACTGGCCCAGGGTCACATGGCCAGGGTGGCAGCAGCAGGAGCCTCACAGGATGATGGATTCATTCCAGATTGGAAACCAATAGGCACCACTTCTGTCTATGACCAAAGTACCCCCACCACTCCCAGGAGTCTAGTGCTTTTCCTCTGAACGAAATGACTAAGTGAACAGAATTACTGTAATTCTGATGCTCCTGGCTCCTCAGTCCCCTGAGCCATGAGTACTCTGAACAGAGGGGTAGTTCACTGTAGACCCCAGGATAAGATGTATGGTCCTTAAGTCTGGAATAGCATCAAATTATACACATTAGGCCAGAGCGATAGCACAGCGGTAGGGCGTTTGCCTTGCACGCAGCCAACATGGCCAACCCGAGTTCGATTCCTCCGCCCCTCTCGGAGACCCCGGCAAGCTACCGAGAGTATCTCGCCCGCACGACAGAGCCTGGCAAGCTCCCCGTGACGTATTCGATATGCCAAACACAGTAACAACAAAGTCTCCAATGGAGACGTTACTGGGCCCGCTCAAGCAAATCGATGATCAACGGGAGGGCCTTTACGTTCCTATACACATTATAACTCGGAAATGAGCCATTCATCTACCCGACTAATGTTTGTAGAGTTAAGACTCAATCATATGTGACAATCTTGTAAAATTTCAGATTGCCTTAGAAAGGAAATAAATATCCCATCAATATACCTATTTGCAAATATGTGACAGTGAATAACAGATTTCTATAACATACCCATATAGATTCAGTGAGCCCATAACATACCAACAAAAGAGTTAAATTCAGAAGGTGAAATGTTACCAAGAATGTGAAACAAATGGTAAAACTGTCACTGTATCATTGTCATCCCATCATAGATTGAGCAGGCACCAGTAATGTCTCCATTCATCCCAGCCCTGAGATTTTAGCAGCCTCTCCTTACTCTTCCTTCCCAACGGTGTTGTATTGAACGCTCTTTCAGAGTTATAGAAATGAGACCCATTATTGTCACTGTTTTTGGCATATCAAATATGCCATGGGGAGCTTGCCAGGCTCTACCAGGAAATGGTAAAACTACACTGAAAAATGGTTTGACAATTTCTTACATTTTGTCTATGACCAAACATATATATGAAATACATGCATACACATGCACATAAAATCAGCATTTACATCCCTAAAGATAAAGTCCACGAAGGACTTGTATAACGATAGTCACAACCACCTCATGCAGAGCATTCCAAACAGGAAAGAACCCTCCATCAGAAGACCGAGTGACCGACCCATGGCATTCATACAATGGAATACTGTTAAGGGGTACAGAGAGCGAGCTACTGGTAATGATAAGGGTGAACATCAAACGCATCGTCACGCTGAGCGAAGAAGTCAGACTCCAGAGCACACAGTGAATGATTTCCTTCACAGCACAGGGCTGAGTGAGCTGACAGCTCTGTGTTTCAGGGTAAATAAGAGTTACCTCTCGAGACTAACTGGCTGGCTGAAAGGGCATGAGAAAACTTTCTGGGATGAAGGCAATTTGCTGAATGGAGTTACCCAGGAGGTATACCTATTTAAAATCATTAATCTGTGTGCTTCATATTTTACATTTTTCTGTCCGAAGGCCTATATTAAAGACAAGACATATCTAGTAATAATGAAATAACCATGGAAAGATATTGGTAATATAGCACTTAAAATAAATAAAACAATGTTAAACTATGGAATAGACTTTTATCTTTAGGAACTTCCACTTCTGAACAAGATGGAGGGAAAAGAATTATCTTCATATCTGAAATCTAAAAAACACATAAAATGTATGAAACATTTTTTAAAACATTATATATTAAAAATGAAGAATAATGATATCAAAGCAGCGGGGGGAGGGGGATAAGAATACCTCTATGATTCCTTACTTCTAATTTTTTCCATATTCCTTATTTTTTCTAAAAACCTCAAAGAGAAAGAGAATAAGACTTCTTCAGCTAGATAAACATCCATGTAAATTTTACAGCAAAATCTTACATGCTTAATAAAACTAACTACTTTCTTGTTAACTTCAGCAACAGGACAAGGATATATCTAAAACAACATTTCTGCTTAACATTGTCATTTTAATAAGAAAATAGCATAAAAAGCATCCAATTGGGAAAGGAGGAAGTAAAACTGACTTGTTAGTAATGACATGATTTTCTATGTGGAGAAGTGTAATATAAATAGTTTACATACATCTATTTTATATGCAAAAGATAAAATAGAAGAACGATATCAAAAATACAATCCCATCCACAACTTGGCCTCCGAACATCAAGTACCTAGGAATCTTCTTAACTAAAGAGGTGAAACTGCTCGTGGGGAGGTCGAATGGTCCAGCCTCTTTGGGAAACAATATGGACCATCCTCAAAAAAATAGCAATTGAGATTCCATATGACCCAGCAATTTCGCTCCTTGGAATATATCTCGAGGGCACAAAAACACAATGCAGGAAAGACATCTGCGCTACTATGATCATGCAGCACTATTCACAATAGCCATATTCTGGAAATAACCCAAGCGCCCCAGAACAGATGACTGGGTTAAGAAGCTGTAATACATATGCACAATGGAATCCTACAGTTACTAGAAAAGATGAAATCGTGAAATCTGCTCCTATGTGGATGGGCCTGAAGAGTATCATGCTAAGTGAAATGAGTCAGAGGAAGGGCACAGAATGATCTAACTTATTTGCAAGAAATAAAGAAACACAATAGGAGATTAATGTTCAAAGACAATAGAAATGAAGGGCTAGAGAATTGGTCGTTAGTAAGAAACATGCCATAGCGGGGTAAGGGGCTTAGGATAGGACCACTGTGACAATGATAGGGGAAAGTGGTCACTCTTGTCAAGAACGGGTACCAAACGAAGGCATGCATGATTCCCTTTCAGCAAAACACAAAACCTAAAAGGAAAAAGTGCCTGCCATAGAGGCAGACTCTGAAGGCGGAAGCAAACTGGAGACATGGAAGTAGACACGGGGAAGGAAATCATGCTTGAACACTGTATGCCTGAAATTCAATCATAAATAACTTTAATTTTGTTTAGTTTGGTTTTGGGGCCACACCCAGTGATAACTCAGGGGTAACTCCTGGCTCTGCACTCAGGAATTACTCCTAGGGGTGCTTTGGGGACCATAAGGGATGACAAGGATAGAACCTGGGTGGGCCAACTGCAAGGCAAATGCCCTCTCTGCTGTACTATCAACCCAACATAATGAATAACTTTGTAATTCACACTGACCCAATAAATTTCAAAAGACTATTTTGAATGCACCTAGAATAAATAAGCTTTGCGAAGTGGGCACAAGATCAATATGAAAACTTCATTTTTACATAAGCATTTACAAGTTAAAATCCTATAGGATTGCCATTTACAATAGCACACAAAATGCTATGTTAAAAAAAAAATCTAGCAAGACCTAAAAACATTGTGTGAAGAGATTAAGAACTAATAGAGAGAGAGATCATGTCCATGTATTGGTAGATTTAATATAATTAAGATGCAATTCTTCCCTATACAATCTCAACAATATCTTTTTTTAATTTGCGGGCTTTTTTTAATTTGCAAAATTTAGATATTTAGGATTACCAAAACAACTGGCAATGTCTGCATATGCTTAACTGTGAAATTTAATACTTGTTCATTATATACGCCTTTAGTGTAAAGACACCAAACTAGTTGCAACCAGATCCTTTTAACAAGCACAGGGTTTTGAAAATACACATTAAGCTCTAATTTTCAACAAAGCAAATTTTTCCCTGAGATCTATCAAAGACAGCATATATGTACGCTCCTTATTCCCTCACCTACAATAGCTATAAAGAATCAGTCATGGCTTTCATCCCCAGGCAGCCTTTACAAGTCTCTCCAGAAGGAACTACTGATAGGCAGGAATTAGCAGACCTGATTCTGAAAAAGAACCTGTTATGACATTCCCACTTTGAAAGCTTTACACAAACTAATCGTTCTGGGATGCTAGCAACTTGTAGTTTTCTATTAAAATGATCATGTCCTTCCTGCCCATTTCAAGTGCCTCAGCAGACCTACAATTGTCTTGTCTCTTAGTCACATGTCTCCTGTCAATCAGATGAAGAAAGCATTCTGCAGTGGATCAAAGCCCACCAACCTGAAGGAGCTCTGTATGTGCTATTGAGAAAATCAGTCACTCTCCAAAGAAATTTAAAACAATAAAACAAAAACTTTACCCCTCCAGCCTATTAAAGGAGCTATTACATGGAACAGGAGAGAACCCACAGTGGGTAAGGTGGGTCCAGTGGGTAAGGTTGCCTTTCTTGCAGCCAACCTGGGTTCAATCCCCAGCATATGGGAGTAGGGTCCCTCAAGCATTACCTGGAATGATTCCTGAGTGCAGGGGCAAGCCCTGAGTAGTGCCAGCTGTCGCCCCAAAACAAAGCAAACCAAAAAAGGAGCTATTATAAATCAACCAATGTTCTACCACATACCAGCTGCAAACACTGGTAATCTATGAGAATCATTTGAGCAGAATTTTTAAAACAGTTCTATCCAAAACGTATTGAATCAGATTATCTGGAGGTGGAGCCAGACATTTTTTTCTCAAAGTACCCCCAATGACTTGAATATGCAGCTGGGCCACCACTACATAATAAATGATTTTATATGCATGAAAGGCACTGTTGTTATATGCTTTATTCATTCATTCGTGTTTGGTATTTTGCAGAGCAACTGCACGTATTTTGATAGTGGGGATTCTATATTCAATGCCTGCAAAAAGAGGAGTGGGGAC